CACTTGCAAGTCTGCCAGCAGAACAAGGAGCTTCACAGCTCACATCTGAATCTTCTAATCTCTGTTTGCACTGCAAGCGATGAAGTTCCTTAGGCTAAGATCACTAGTTTAGCCAGTCCTGAGATAGAAAGGACTGAGATAGTCCTGCCTGTACATCAGTTGAAGAGAAAAGTGGTAGAATACCAAGAAGCTCCTATTTTACAGGCAGGAATAGGGTAGACATTCAGTGCCTTCTCCAGAGCCACTGCAAAGCAAGTCTGCAGTGGGAACTGAGGGTGAGATAACACCTTGGGGAAATAATACCATCACATGCTGGTAAAGATCAGGATAACTGAATTTTAAAGAGAGCGGTGAGTTCAATATAAATTCTCTACTCCAATCCTCCAGGACCTTGTTTTCCCTATATAACTGCCTGGTGACACAGAAGTAAGTTTTCACATACAAGTCCAAGCCAGAATTACCCCAGAAGGAAGTACTTGAGAGACAAGTGCTAACAGTAAAATGACAGGTTGGAATGGCAAAATAACACACAAGATCATACCCTGGGTGCAAGCCCTCAAGGGACACTGGCTGTGGGACACAACAGCAGCAGTTTGCAAGTCAACAGTTCTGGAAAAAGGTTATTTTCTTTGTCTCTCTTCAGGCTTCCCAGCTAATGCCCATCTCTCTTCCATGACTCAAATTTGTTTGCATGGCAAAATAGGGGTCTTTGCCTACCCCTGTTCTGCAGGGCTGCCATGGAAACTCTTGGGCAAGGAGAGGAGAACTCTCAGCAGCAGCAGGATTTCAACTGCTGACAGGGGCCAGCAGAAAACAGAACCCAGAACCAGTTCAGTTCCAGGGAGGGGAAGGAGGGTTACTCTCTACATTCAGGCAGAAGCAGATTCTATTCAGCCTGGCATTTACAACCACACGTAAGTGGACGGCCAAAGAAATCCCTCAACACAAGCTGCAAAGGGAGTGCAGAAAGCCACAACAGCACTTCCAGATTTATAAAATGGGTGGAGGGAGCACAGGACAAGGAGGAGCAGAAGCGGTTTTTGTTTGACGATATCATGAATTGGGCTGAACCTCTAGTGGCAGTGAAGAGACTTCTGGGCAATAAAACCACCTGCACGTAACAGGCAGAGACACACACCTGCAATTCCTCCCTCCTGCTCAGCATCACTTTGAAACATAGGTCAGAATCTGACCCTGTTTTGATCAGAACTTTGCCTCAAATCATTATCGGTTCAATCTGGCTTTCTGAAATACCTTGGAAACTAAAGCATCTACAATCAAAGTGAAAATAAAGGGCCATAGCTTAAACCTGAAGTACAGACACACTGCACCAGGGACTGGCCTGGTTAGGCTGTTTAGTCTATTAACTCGCTGGTGGTGGAAACAAATTAGAGGATTTTAAATCTGCCCACTCACTTCCAATAAACTAATGATGATGACGCTCTTCTAACAATTAATTTTGCGGCTCCTATTTGGCATCCTTGTTTTTAGATGCAGAATGGACATCTCCCTCCTTGCAGAGCCAGACATGCAGAGATTTGGTTAAGGAACAGAACAGGAAACCAGATGAACTCAAACACATGAGCTGAGATTAAATCTCTTGGGGAGCACCAGTAGCCTCTCAGACCACAAAATCCATTTGTTGCCCTCCTGTAAGTTTAACAGTTACAACTCCATGCAGTTTATTTGGGGTTTTGGTGTAAGAATGCTAGTGTTGCCAAAGAGAGGAGAAAGTGAGCTCTCACGTGTGTGACAGAGCCAGACACCAGTGCAGTGCAGAATGCCAAAGAACGTGTATTTGTTTAGCTCCTCAGTATCCCACAGTGCAAAGCTCATAACTAGCTCACATCAGGCTTTCAGACAGCTTTGAGAACTGGTAACAGGTTGGTCCAATGGACAATATCCAAAGCACTGAGTGAGCTTGAAAGAAACACATAATGCAAACTTCAACACTGTACAGGGTGATGAAAATGAAGCAACGGAGCAAAGAGCAACATGAAATGGATGCCATTAAACAGTGGGGTAAAGTTAATGCTGTTCTGCACAACACGGACACAACATCAACCTTTTGTCAAGGAAAGAAGCAAACACCTTCCCTCAGTCAGACTGCTTATAATTTACTAAAGTCACATCTGAAGAAATTAATAGACAAGAACAGCCTATTTTATTCACTCAGGTGAGGGACCTTTATACACTTGCCAGCATTTTCTCTTATGCACTGGCAAAGGCTGCTGGAAGGTGCGCTGGCACTGTCAGAATCCAGGGGGAAGCTTCAATCACAACTGCCAGCCAAGGAGGCGTTAACAGCAGCAAGCCCCATCCAGAGGCACACCAACAACATTTCCATCCCTAGTCTAGGCAAGGCCTGAGATAATGAGAGGCTCAGGGTGACACATGAGCCTGATCCAAAGTCATCTGAGGCCAGAAGGGACCTGTAATGGCAGTCCACACACTTCAAAGACACCTCTCACAAAAACCTGCAGGAACACTGAAGTGGAAAGGTACATGCGGGGAAAGTCACTACTTTATCCATCTGAACATTTCACGTCCAGCCTCTTGAAACTTATTCTGACCTGCCTAGACACAAAGGTTGTTGAGGAGATCTTGTCCTCGTCCTCCACTGTAATGTTGTAAATCATTACACAAGTGTCCAGACTTGCTGTCAGCTCTCATCTTTTAATAACCAACAGCCCTGAACAAACTGCCCAATGGACAGAGAAAGACTGACTAACACATAGGAGAAACAGATAAATCGTTTCAGTTTTGCTGTTTAAATATACAATTTTCTTAACACTTTAGTTGTATCATAAATTTAACATTCCTAAAGAACTTCAAAGATGACTGGAGGACCAGCTCATTCTCTCGTAGGCATTCTCTGCAATTGTCCTTCTAGGGAATGTCACGTGAACTAGAGAAACATGTCCATCTCCCAAGCATGCTGCTCTCTCACTTTTAACACTTCATGTTATCAGCCAAGTGAAGCAAGGCCAAAGCATATAACTTCATGGCATTTTTCTTCTTGAAACAGAAACTTTTGAAGCTGTTTGATCAATTCTAAGGACTTCACAGGAATGTTGCAGGCATCAGTGCAAGAAAAAACAACAAACCTATGTTGGCAGCAATTTAAAAAAAAAATTAAGCAATAATTAAAAATTAAGAAACACAGAGAGGATCACCCATGGTGACATGTCATTCCTCTGTCCCTCTTGTAACTTTCAGGTTTCAGTCCCACTGACAGGGTTCAATAGAGAAAACCAGCAAAGGCTGGACTTTGCCAAGCCCAGGACCGCAGAACAAAGGCTTGTTCCACACACTGAGCAATGTTGCCATGATAAGGGAGACCCTGAATATGACAGTACTGCAGTTCTATCCTGCACTTGAGTGGAGTCCTTTGCTCTAGAGAAAGCTCACCTCTATTGTGAGTTCTCAAACATATCCCCTCTACAGCTGCAAACCTCTTAAATCCGATTCAGAATCCCAGACAGAAGCAAACACCTGCACTTCCAACACCTTCCCAAGAACTAATCTGAGCTCTGCTGAGCTAAATGGTGGATCTGTGTCTCCAGGTATCAAGCGAAAATAGTTTGGTTTGTCTTCAACAGCACCCAGGTGGCACCAAGAGGAGCGTGCGACAGAGATACAACTGCTCAAAAGATGCAGAGAAACGAGCTGCAGTGTTCAGCAGCAAATTGGGCTATGACAAATTTGCCTCTGATGCTGGCACAAGTACTGGGCTGGAGACCACATCCCTGCTTTATCAACACTGGCTTGGCACATACTTCTTTACTTAACCCTTGTCTCCTCTACTAAACACTGACTTATGAAATAAGTCCACAAGGGACAGAGAATCCAGTGCTCAGAACAACCCTCACATCTGGGAAGCCTCTGCGCTACTCCAGCACAGGCTTCCCATACAACCCCGAGCTTGTCATCCTACCTCAGTTTCCCACACCCTTCTCAAGTGGCTGTGCAAGGGGCTGGGGAAGGGACCAGCCTTCCCCTTCCTCACAGATATCTTTAGACATATAACATTAAAAATACCTTAATCAGAGCCCACACAGGCCTGCAACATGCATAACATTGTATTTACTCAGACCGAGTAGCTCTCTGAAGCGTTTCTGCAGGATCTGCCTAACGATGAAGCCACCTCTTCGCACACGCACAAACTCACAGTCCTCGCCCAATTCCCATTAAAAACGCTCCCAGAAATGAAAGGAGAGCACGGCACGTGCACAAAGGGGCCAAGCTCCAGGGCCGAGCCCACCCAACCCACAGGATGCTGCTGGAGGCACAGCAGCCCCAAGCGTCGGCAGAGCCCGGTGCCGCTCGGCGAGATCAGCACGGCCGCGCCTCCCTCCCCTCGCCCAGCTGTCTGTTCCCGAGGGACCCTCCCCGGAGACCCCCGGCCCTGCCGGTGCTGGGCGGCCCCGCGCAGGGCCCGGCAGCCCCCGCACCGCCGGTCCCGCCGAACCGCCCTGCCCTGCCCTGCTCTCGCCGGGAGAGCCGGCCCCGCGCTGCTCCCGCACGGTGCCGCGGGCGGGCCGGCCCCGCCCCGCGCATCCCGCGGTCACCCGGCGGCGGCACCGCACACAAAGCGCCCGCGGCCGCGCTTCTCCCCGCGGGCCGCCGCGACGCGGGCGCGGGCGGTACCTGCGGGGCGCGGGCCGGGCGGAGGCTGTCCCGCTGTCCCGCTGTCGCCGTCCGTCGCTCCCGCTGTCGCTCCCTCCGCTCAGAGCCGGCGGCGGCGGCGCCCGCTCCGCTCCATGGCCGCGCGCGCGCCCCGTTCGCCACGGGAAGAATAGGGGGCCCACCGCGCACGCGCCGCCCGCGCCCGCCCCGCCCCGCCCCGCGCGCCGGCGCGGCGCCGCCCTGCGGGCCCCGGTGCCGCGGTGAGGTCAGCGCGCGCCCTGCGCATGCGCGGGGGTGGGCCGTTACCGCGCGCGCCCGGTCGCCATGGAGATACCGCCCGGCGGCAGCGCCGGGACCGGGGGGCGCGGGGACGTGTGTTCCCGGGAGTGCCAGAGCTCCGTCCCGCCTGATCGGCCCCCGAGGGCGGCTCCAGGCAGTGCCGTGCCCCTGGCTCCTGGGTCCGACCGCCGAGAAGCTCAAATGCTTTGCAAAGAATTGGCGATAGCGTGAGGGCTCGGCGCTGCCGCGCGGCTGCGTACCAGGGCACTGCCATCCTCTAGTGATCCCCGGTGAGGGAAACTGTTCCACAGAATCATCGAATGCGGCAGGTTGGAAGGGACCACAGGGGGTCATCTGGCCCAACCTTCCTGCTCGAGCAGGGTGATCCCAGAGCACATGGCATCCAGGATTGCATCCAGACGGTTCTGGAATGTCTCCAGTGAGAGAGACTCCAGAGCCTCTCTGGGCAATCTGTACCAGTGCACAGTCACTCACACGATAGAGAAGTTCTTCCTCATATTCAGGTGGAATTCGCTGTGCATCAGTTTCTCCCTGTTGCCTCTTGTCCTATTCCTTGGCACCCCCGAGTAGAACCTGATCCATCCTCTTGAAACTGCCTCCCACTTTAGATACACATTGATGAGGTCCCCTCTCAGTCTTCTCAAGGCTGAAGAGGCCCAACTCTCAGCCTTTCCTCATAAGAGAGATGCTCTAGTCCCTTAATCACATTTGTTGCTCTCCACTGGACCCTCTGGATGCTCCAGGAGCTCCACATGTCTCTGCTTTGCCCAGCCTTAGTTAAAAACCTGTATTCAAAAACAACTAAATCTTTCTCCTACATGGAATGAGTTGCAGTGCCACCACTATGTAACTGAGGTGAGAATGGGAAACAAATGCCCTGTGCAGAGGTTCTATGCCAAGACACGTTTGACGATCTTCCTGCCTGGGCTCATGACTGCTGCTTTCGTGGTGTTGTAGGGAATGAACCTCCATCTTCCCTTGAACCACCACTGTGCTCGTCCTCTGCAGCTGACCTCCCCAGGTGACATTGTGGTTCCTAACAAGCCTGTAGTCTGAGCCATTAAAACAGTTCATAGGGGAGAGCTGTATGTGGAACAAATGGTTCATTTTCATTCACAACTTCTTGAAATAATAATGCCCTTCTCCTTGGCTCACAATTTTGGCACAGAAATTGTTTTTGGCAAGCCCTCTCCAAATAATCCTAGATTTTGTAATTTGTTCCTTTCCTCCCTCAGGTTCGAGAGCAATACATAAACTGCTGCTTTGAGCGAAGCCATCGGCAAGGCTGCATGTCAGTTCTGGAAAAGGCTGCACAGATGTCAAGAGAAAGCTGGGGATATTAGTGCTTAAAAGGATGCCAGCTCTGGGTAAACTGAAAGCAGGTGATTACAAACCAGCTTTAGAAATTACCATGGTTCTCACCCCCAGGCAGTAGCTAATCTCCTGAGAGCCCTAACTGGCTAAGCACTACCCACAGTAGAGATGCAACAGCTCTGCTTCACCTATTGTGGTTTCCCAGTCCCCACGTTACCATCGCTCTGCACCCAGAGGAGGCACAGTCCCTGTGCCGAGTGCTTTCCCTCCCTCATTTGGCAGTTCTGCAACCAGGACTCCAGTTGTTTTCCCTGCTCTCATTTTGCACTACTGCAGCGGTACTGGATCAAGGGTCAGACTTGATGATCTCAGAGGTCTCTTCCAACCCGGCTGATTCTATGATTCTGTGATTCTGTGCAGTCTCCCAACTGCAGCTGATGACAGAGGTCACAGGTACATTAATAAAGGACCAATAATCCTTCCACTTCAGCTGGATCTGCTACAACTACAGGCAAAGTTCTCTCAGACACTAGATAGTTCCCTCTGTTCCCAAAATACCATCACAATCCATTTTGAGCAAGAAAATTAGATAAAGACTGAATAGTTCTAAGTTAGCTGAATTACGATAAGCAATATTTAATTTCATTTTAGGAAGAAGTCAATAATTGTGTATCACATTTGCTGTGAATTCTTTCTCTTCAGTATTGCAATACAGAGGCATTTACTTTGGAAATTTCCTAATATTCCTTCTGATATAATTGTATGTTTGCCTTTTCTTCACAGATTCTTACTTTTGGTGATTTTACGGTCACTGTTTGGCAGTGACCAACAGCCTAAACCTTCATAAAGAAATGCTGAGAAATACATCTGGTGTAGTTTTTAAGTATTTTTTCCTCCCCTCCTAGATAACACTTGCATAGAAAATATGTTTTTTTATTTTCTTTTTTGTTGCAAGACTTAGGGGACAACTGCACAAAACTTAAAAGCTTCCTCACTGTGCAATTAACAAAAAGATTGTGGACACAATCCTTTTCTATGTGTTTTCTTCACATTTTTATTATAAAACAGGTAAAGTCTGTGCACAGAAATAAATTTGTCACCTAATAGCTCTAATGTTTTGATTTTTTTTCCTGTTATTATGTGACTGTTTCCTTGGCTCCCTGCAAAGACTTTTAGAACAGTTTCTGCCTATATTTAAGATAACCAAATTGTTCCATGAGCAGTAGCACCAATGATGCTTAGTTTCCCACAGATCTGTGGGTTTTGTCCCTCTAATCTGCCCTGTTCTCTCAGCAGCCCTACCTTCCTGTGACAGTCCCCTCCAAGGGGACACAGGCAGCACAGTGTGTGGTTATCCACGGCTGTGTACACATGCACGTCGAAGGGCAGCCTTCTGCCAAAGGGATCATACCATGCCTGAGCTCCCCTCCTGCCTTCCCCTGAGGCTGGCAATGATTATTTCTCTCTTCCAGTTCTCATGAAACTTGAGATTCTTTCCTCCCCCCTAAATGTTGAGAAGGAAAAAGGAGGGGGCTAGCCTGACAGCTGAATAGGAGCAGACAGACAGACTGATCACATAAGCCTCATTTTCATTGGAAAAAGAAGTCCAAAATACATTGTAGCTTGAAAGCTTTCTTCAAATTTTTTAAAAAGGAGGTGAAGGCGTTGTTCTGATTCTTGCCCTTCAGGTTTCTTAACATTAATCTCAGTATTCTTCAGTTCTGCTCAGATGAGGTTCTTGATTACCCTGCACAGTCCATTGACTTTCCCAGGGATATCCATCTGCTTTAGTTCCAGCACACCTATGATAGATCTGCACATCCATTGCCTGTGATGGCTCTCAGTGGAAACCCACCATGAAGGCACATCAGGATACCCCAAGGGCAACCAGATCTAAGCTTCTGGATGGAATCCAATCTGCAGGGATAATTCAGATTCCCCAAAGTTATTGTTAGGTAACAACTATGCTATTGCTAACCAGTCCTTGGGGATTTATCCTGGGGTGCAGAAAGGACTCTCTAAATGAAGGAAACAGCAGTAACCACTGGAGGAACTGCTACCATCACATGTGACTTCTTGACAAGGCCTTCAGTACCAGTGGCTCAACAGCAGGCATTTGGCAATACCCTTATACATAGCATCTCTAAAAAAGGATACTTTTTACTATACTCTCATTTCTGAAAGATATCCGTTTACTTACCTGTCTCATACACAGATCTCCAAATCAGACTAGTGCAACAGAAAGGTAGGAACATCTGTCTCCTGAGAGGGTACTATTCCCAGTGAGGCAGCATGTATCTCTCTAATCAGTCCACCTGCAAAGTACTTTGTTCCCTGCTTGTTGAGCAGGTGTATGCCTATACACGTGCTAAACAAGTCCACCTGCGGGGTGAAACACGAGATGAACTTAGGGACATCTGCAGCAAGGGCACAGAAAGCTTTTAAGTAAGGGCAAATCAAAGTCAGAAAGCTTTTTAAAATAAAGAAATGTAAGACTAGCTTTCAATTACCCACATTGCTCTTTCAAACAAAAACCCATCAATAAAACAGAACTAGTGGGAAGTAGAGGGATGGACTGGCTCTATTTCAGCAGAAACACAGACTATGGCTGAGTGATCTGTCTTCCCCCTTTCTTCAGGGCCCTTTTGCACAAAATCTTCTCAGGAATCTGAGGGCCAAGTGCTCCAAGGAGAAATGTGTTTATTTAAGAATGACAGTATGATGATGTAGCTGCCCATGTCAGCAGAGGACAGCAGCATCAAAACCTGGCTGTCCCTGAGTTGCTTCTCTAGAGTTTAGCACACCACCACGCAGACTTAGAAAGCCACATTTCCTTTATGTGCTGTCCCAACTTGACTACTTGCATGGCTGAGGGGGAGAACAGCTTCACTTGACTTGATGTAGCATTGCATCTCTCCCTTTGCCATCTCCTGGCACTTAAATCCCCTGAACACATCATCTGAACAGACTTGTGCAGTGCTAAGGAGAAGGCTGGACTGCTGCTGGCAGATAAATACCACGGGCCAACACAAGGAGAAGCCCAGGTACCCAGCTTCTGAGTGCTGTTGATCCCACCCACTCTGGCACAGGCTCCTTGTGTGACTCATCTCTTCTACCACTCACCTGTGAAACAGGGAACGAACTCCTCATCCATACTGTGTGAGAACAAACACTGGAAACAGGGAAACAGTACTTCAGATCAACATCAAATTTAGTAATTCTTCATTCTTTCCTTTGCATATGACAATTGTCACAGCCCCAGATTTGAGCACTTTCAGCTCACACAATGTGCTCCTCCACCGCTATCTTTAATTGGCACTTTCCTGCCAAGCCTCAGCGTTTTGCATCGGACTTTTTCCACGTGAGAGCTGCCACGAACAAAGCATCCCACTGACCCACTTAACTCCCACGTGAAGGCACATGAAGCTGCGCTTCAGTCACCAAACAGAAAAGAAAATGCAAAAGCAGGAGGTTTTGATTAAAGGGACGTGAGCAAATGGCTTCAAGGCTCATCGTGTGCACATGGGCACGTCTGCGTGTGTTCACTTCTTGCAGACATTTGGCCACCCAAGGAGAAACATCACGTACAAAGCAGGTCGTCTTCATGAAGTGTGATTTGGGTTTGATTAGAGATTTCCCATTGGCATGAAGGTCCTGTGAGCCAGGCAACATCCCCATGGGCCTCTTCCCCTGACCTGGAGTGACTGCCTCCAGGGAGGCAGGGAACAGTTCATTCTCCCTGACCAAAACATCAAGGAAGGTACCAATTAGTGTTAATTGTGGAATTCTTTGTTTTGTGACCAGAGCCTGAGCTTAAACCCCCCAAAACTGAACACAGGCTACTGGCAACAATTTTCCACCATTTCTGAGCTGCATTAGAATTAATGCAGTAGCCTAGAAGATGATCTCTGGTCTTACCAAGGCATGGGCACTAGGTCTTGTATTTGTATCAGAGACTGTATTTTTCCTGGCTGCCCTCAGGCCCCTGGGAAGAGACGTTTACAGGTCAAACTTACAAGAGTCCTATTTTTGTCTTGCACTTAAATTTACATTAAACAACATTTCAGCCCCATTTCCTCTTCCCTCATAATTTCCCATTTACACTGTTTCAAATGGATTTACCTCTTCCTGTACTTGTTTTCCATAGTCATCTGCTGATGTTATTATACCTTGTTTCCACCACCCAAACACAATTATGCTCATATCTTCTTTTTTTTTATACTTGCATATCACACGTGCACATACCTTAGCAGCATGGGTTCTTTTAATCTTTGAACAACATTTCCTTTTTATCCTCACCCAAATATTAAGCCAACTGGAAAGTGACACATCAAGGTTAGGAATGCAGTCTGCTCCTGACAAGGAAAAAACGCTGAGCTTTGCAAGAAAGGCTAAGTGGATTAAGATCCATTCTAAAGATTAGGTCACCCTTCACCCCAAATGCAGATTTCTACTGAAATTAATGGAAGCTCTTACAGAATGCAATGGGAGGGTTGACATTGAATGGCAACACAGCAAACATACACTGGCAGCTCACCCAAAACCAATTGTCCAAATCACCAACTCCAAATGAGTCTTAACAACCAACTGATTGATTCTATACTATATATTAACACGGTGGGATTTCATCTTGTAAAATTATGAGCTGATGGGGAAAAAAAGCTGAGCTAGTAGTTCTCAGCATAAAAACTTGGGCTGTGATTCATCTGGTTGCACTGACATTACACCAACAGACAGGTTTGCCTTAGGAGAATCCGTGATGACTCTCAAACTAGTCCCTTGCACTTGCATAGCTCTGGCCAGACCAGTCACAAAGCTCCAGCAGCTCCAAACCTGGAATTTGTTTTTCAGGATACAATTCAATAGAATGCACTTTAAGCAATGTCCAGTTAATAAATTGCAACCACCACATCTTTGTGTGGGATAGCTGAGGGAAAAGCCTTATAGATTTGTCTTACATTTCCTCTGCCCATTGTGTCTGGGCAGATGAACGCAGCCCTTGTAACAGGCAGACCTGCAAACATAGCCCAGCACCTGAAAATCACACCCGATCCCTTCCAGCTCTCACATCAACAGAAATAAAAATGCTACAGGCAACAAAGTAGCTGTGCTGCTGCTGCACAGCTGGCACATACTCTGCTCACCCCCACTGCAGGTTGCCTTCTGTGAGAAACAGTAACTGAGTACAGGAGCGAGAGGCAAAGTACTGCCTTCACTCTCAAAATGGTGCAATGCTTTCAGCCTTGCGAAGCCACCCTGACAGAAGCAACTTACTTCTCTGCTTTTTTTTAAAAAAACAACACACATGCAAACTTGCTGGGTTTGTGCAAGCCCTTGTGGGAAACTGGCAGCAACGCCACACTGCAGAGCAAGCAGCCTGATTTCCAGGTCTGTACCTGCTCACCAAGCCTCCTCTCAGTCAGCACTGGAAAAATGCACAGAAAAAAACAGGGCTTTCCAAAACCACGACGATAAAAACCAGATTTTTTTTCTCCTTCCTGTTCTTTAAAACAACAAGTTTCAAATCCAGGCCAGGCCCTAGGCTCTATGTAATGGGTCAAGTGCAGGGTCAAATGTACAACCAGGGAAAGGAAGTGACCCCAGTGCCTTACTGTCTCATAGTCCTGCAGTGTTCATCCTCCCAACCCTGCCTGCTCTCTTCAGCAACAAATTTGAAGATAATTATAAACCAGCATTTTCTTCCTCATTCAGAGCCAAGATTTATGTAGGAGCTTCTGTGTAGTTTATCCTTTGCCAGCACAGAAGAGCCACATGATTACTGGCCACAACTAGTCCAAGGCTCCCAGGACAGTCAAGATCTCTGCCCCTGCCATATGCTTAATTAATGCTGGGTGGGAGAAGTGATGAGAGGCCTTGCTGCACCCTGCATGGGAGAAAGTGTTTCACTTTAAGAATTCTCATTCACACAGTTAGCCATTTCTTCAGCTTGCTCTGACAGCTGCTGGCCTTTGGCAGGGAGGGATGTGCCTGCATTAGCCATGCCAGGCAGCAGCTCAGAATGGCCTCCCCACTGTTCCAGCAGCACCCTGGGGTGGTCCCCAACATATCTCTGGCTAAGAAGGTGCAGATTATTGCTGCCTAGAGTTGAACATTTCAAGAATTTGGGGGTTAGATCGTAAACTCAGGAAAACAGGATGTATTTGAACAGTGTCTTGGACAATGAAGGAGCCTGGTCCAAGAGGACTCATGGGTATTCCTGGAAAACACATAATGGACATCACATTCACTCTACTCCTGTTACTTGCATGTCCGGCTTTCACCTGCAACACCCTGCCCAGGGCAGGGATGTGCACAGCACCTCACACAGCACAGCCCTACCCCAGGCAGCTGCATCCCACAGCAAAGTGAGAACCAAACATCCCAACACTCCAAAGGGAAAGCTGGGAGAGGGGGAATTTGCTAGAGCTACCCTCTGCCTCGCTGGTGCGTTACTTGAGAGTGTGTCACCCCTCAGAGCCATGCCCAAGTCCTCCCTTGCACCATGAGCTATTTGCAGGCAGGTTTTAGCCTTGTTCCTCAGGGCTGCAGCCTTTTGAAAAGCCAGGTATGCAAGCAAACAGGCTTGATACTGGCAAGAGCAAGTGTCACTTGCCCAGCCTGCTCTGCTCCTCCACTCTGATCATGAGCAAGCACCAGCACTTGGGCCGTGGTTGCAGCACACTCCTTATGCTCTGTGCAGCCTGGGCATCCCACAGCACATCTGACAGGCAAAACAAATAAGGAAATATAAAACTGCATCTTTAATTTTGAGCAGTCTAACATTGCTAATGCACCAGTGCCTTTTTCTTGAGAGGTGAACATTGGCTTCATCATTCCTTTCTCCCCTCTATCTCGCAGCCAATTCTGCTTTTCTCCCCCACCCTCCCCAACCCCCATATTTCTTATACTTCCAGTACTTCATGTGCTGGGAAATACTAAGCACTCTTAAAACCAGCTCCCCCTCCTGCAAAACAGAGAAATTGTAATAAATGAGTGCAAATTAGCAGACTTGGCTAGCACGTGTTTTTGAAGCTTGAAAACAGTAATACATACGTAAGCGTTCAGCAAAACAGCTCATTCATTACTGAGAGGCAGAGAACTTGCAAGTCATGCCTTGAACCCACAGCCCCAACACTCCTAGCATCCCAGTAAAAACAACTCAGAGCCTGCCCTAAAATCAGTGGCCGGGAGGTTTGTGTTTGTCCAAGATGAATGATCAAACGACTGCAGAGATGAGAAAATAAAATCAGTGCAGGCATTGAGGCATAACTCATGACACAGCATGTCTGTCCACTTGCTATGGAAACTATGTTTGGCAAGTATCAGGTGTCTGAATTTCTGCTTACGTACATCTCCCTGGACAGCAGTATATTAATAACACAGGCAGCCTAAAAACAGAACCTATCACCAAGAAAAGCTGCCCTTCTGCCCAGAGTTCCTTGCTGTAGCCTGGATATTGTTGTGCTTTACTCAAACAAAACAGAATTTTGTTTCCTTGCTTTTCAGAACTGCCATCTAAGCTGATCTCAATTGAAGGAAGATGAACAAACAAAAGGAAGGGAAAGGAAAATTACAGCAGGAAGCAACCTTATTGTAAGCACAGCTTTCTTGAACGTCTTCCCAGCAAGGCTCACACTGCTATGTGAACATGGAGAGTCAGCAGCAGCCAGGGTATTGGCTTAAAGGAACAAACCTGTCCAAGAGACCTGCAGAAGCCAAAGCCCCTGGAAGCTCATGCAGCCAGACAGGATAGCCCTGGCACTGCAAGTGGCATGAAAAGAATCCACTGAGTCAAACACAGAAGAGAGCCACAAGTGGACACAGCAGGGGCAGAACAGTGGGCACAGAGAGGAGCACAGCAACAAAAGCAAAGTAGGAACAATGCAACTCTGGGTTCAAAATGCAGGCCAAAGGGTTGGATTGGGAAGCATAGGAAGGGGGATGCTCAGGCTTTGGTGAACATGGAACTGCACTGGAGAAGTTACTCTAGATAAACTTAAGTTCTCTTAAGAGCAGCTTTAACTCAACAGCCTAGGAAGGAGTAGCACCACAGAAATGGACATATTTGATTAAGATCCATACCAGGTTTCTCATATGTTCTTAAACCTTGTTAGAGACACATGAGTCACACCAACGCAGCCAGTCACTCCAAACTGCCTGGACAAGATGGGTTTCTTCATACAGCCAGACGTCATTTCCCAGGAAACCTTGTCCTGCAGCATAAGTTCACAGCTGAGGCATGCTGCCCCCCGGTGTCAGGCTGTGCCCGAGAGATTCAGCTCCCGGCAGGAGAAAGTCCAGCCATATTTCTAGTTCTTCCTGACCCAACAGCCATCTTTATTTGCCCAACACAAAGTTAGGAACATGGATTTTAAAAGAAATTGCTTTTTTTTCTGCTGCTCTCAGCTGTATGATGTCAAGCTAGAAGTTCTTGCAGAGCTGCACATCTGTTACGAACAGATAAGCAATTTCTGCCAATTATTCTGATCCCGTGTATCTCACATCTTAGCTGAGGATGTATTTTCCACAGATTTGAGGTGCAAGCACTGCCTGTTTCACATCAAACAATGCAGAGGGAAGAAAGCCTGCAGATGTACACAGCAACACTCTATTAAAAGGTAAGGAGTGTCCACAACCAGTGGGCTGGTGAACTGATTTCTCTGGCATGCCCAATGTGACAAGTGTTTGATATAAAGGCACACTCACCCAAGTGGCTTCCTCGACAGTTTAGGGTGACAACGGAGAATGGTCTAATTCAAGTCACCAAGAGAAGGTTATAACCTCACAATTATTCAAGTGATCAGGCTGGATAGGTCAGGATTAGCCAGGCCAATGGTTTAGATTTGTCCTCCTCTGCCAGGACTCCAGTCTTAAAATAGCCAGGGAATTAGTGCCAGCCACCTACCTGAGCAGCCAGTTATTATCACCTGGGCTTTCCTCTGAAACCTTCTGCCAAACCTGACCTGCAGCCAACAGCAGCAGAGAGTGTTTAATCTCAGACAACAAAAGATCATGGCTAAGTAGGTGCCAGAGAACCCAAACTGGAATTTCTACAGGTCTCAGATTTGCAATAAAATCCAAATTCTAAGTTCACAGTCAAACTGCCTTTTCAAACAGGACTGGATATCTGCCATCAGCTCTGTGACAAGCTAGCTGGAACAAAAATAAATCTTAATGCAGAACAAAAAGCTACACTCAGTTCTCTGAGTGTAAACCTGCCTTCCCACTCCTGGTTCACCCACCCAGATGTTTATTGCAATATTGCAATGTGCTTATTGCCCCCTGAAGCAGAAGATACCCTTGTTTCATGCAGGCAGTGAAACTAAAATGCAGGGACAAGGTGCTGCAGGGACAACAGAACTGCCAATAGAACCCAGACTGCTCTGATTACTGATGCATCTTCTCAGAGCCTGGCTCACTCTAAGAACAGCTTTATCTAAGCTAGTTGTCACTGTTTGCTCCTCTCTACAGCGCAGCAAGAAGTCCTCCTAAAAGCAGCCACACTTCACAGGTCCTTGAATATTTTCTGAACCAGGCAACAGCACATCTGTGGCACACAAAACCCCGGAGCTACCTTTGCATGGCCAGCCCCGAGGTAAAGCAGTACGTCAGCAGGTGCCACCTGGGACCTCTGCAGAGTGAAATGTCTTTCACAGAAGTGGGTGAGGAATGAACGTGACTCTGGCTGAGCCACCAGCCACCAGCTCTGTCACCCTGTGTCCTCCGCAGCAGGGAACGCTCAAACACTGATCTTTGGCCTGCACAGTGAAAGGAATGGGAATCTTGAGTGTGAGTGACTTGAGCCATCCGACTCTGTCTCTTCTCCCCATCTTCCTAATCCAAGGCCTTTCCAAGCTCTCTGCAACCACTCCATATTCTGGCAAAGGCAGTTTCCCAGGCATTGCTGAAAGTAGGGCTGAAAGGCACTGCTTGCTCAGGCAGTGTGGTATTCTACTTCTGCCCTGGACAGTACAGGCAGATCTTGACTAATCACAAACAGGAGATGAAATTCATAGAATGTCTTCCTCCTGGGGGAAAAAAAAAAAATCTCTTGCCCTGTATTTGTCCAAAATGTGAGAACTAACATGAAACACAGACAGTGGGTTAAACAGAAGAACCACTACCAGAGCCAACAAAGTTGAAAAATGGGTTTTTTTTTAATAACCTGTCATTAATTATAAATCTAAGATACATTTGCTTTCCTCAGCAAACTCTGAATGGACAGCCTCACATTTTCT